TTTTATGATAATATAGTAAAAATATTAAATTAGAAAATGCCTCACTAAGGGTTATAAAACCTACTACAGTAAAGATAGGTAATTATCCCCTCTACAGCCTAAATGACAGTTTAAAAGAAATAAAAATATTAGTGCTCATTACTTGCTTTTGTAGGTTGTAATAAAGGGTAAGTTACATTTTAATTCAAGGAAGAGCCCTTACTATGGACCTTCTACCTGAGCTCCAGGTCTTGGGAATGACTCTCTGGGTTATTCTCCTGCATGGACCCAACATGAATAGGTCTGCTACAGTGTGCCGCTCACTGGTCACTGAGATGAGAGTTGGGGGGTGGGGATCACAAGGGTTGGGGGAGCATTGCAGCTCAGTGACTCAAATCTTGATTCTTAATGTGATAAGGAGGAGGAATTAGGTATTTAAAAAAAAGCAGTGCCAAATTCAGTATGCATAGTCATAAGGGAACCTCAAGTATTAAAGTATACACTTACCCTGGAGAATTGGATGGAGACAAGGTTAACCTGAAGGATTGATAGTTTAGCTTCTCTGCATGGCTAACGCCCTGTGAGGAAAACCGCTACAGGGAAAACCTTCCACATGGCGGAAGGCAGCTGACTCAGGCCCGTAGTGACTTTCTGTTACCTGCTGTTGGGTTTTACTGGTGTTTGTGGGGGTGGGGTAAAGGAGGTGGCAGGTTTTGTTTCTTTTCAAATGCTTTGACCTTTCTTGAAACGTTGATACAGACTAGCACCCTTTCTGGGTTTGAAGAAAAGTTCCTTTCCCTTTGTTCTTACGGGGTGCTCCAAGGCTTTCCAAGGAGAAAGTAAACACCTCAGATTGGACTGCTCTCAAGGGTGGGCCCTTGCTGCAGACTGTGGTGCTCTGGTTAGGCCCCTGTCCATTTCTGACCGGCTATGGGACATTGTCCTGTAGCACGAGAACCTCAGGACACCAAACACAAGGTGGTGGTGGTGGTTACATGCTGTGGAGTCAGTTCGGACTCATAGCGACCCTGCATAGGGTTTCCAGTAGCCGCTGGTGAGCTTGAATCGCCAACTATGTGGCTCAAACTGACTTTGCAGTCCTGCACATTAACCCACAGCACCACACCAGGATTGTTTTTAATGATCTACCAGCTGGTTGTAGATCACCATATGATAATCTATATATCAGAATAGAGTTGATTTTGAACTTTCTTTCAAAAAGTGATATTTATCTATACAAACAAAAAGAGGGAGAAGTTTCACTTATTTCATCAAGAGATGCCTTTTTCTCTCAATAACATTGTTTTTAGATATTTGTTAAATTTTTAATAAAATTGCAATGAATTGTTGTTATATGTGTTTGTTTTATCCTGACTGTAGTTGTAATGATAACCCATCCATAAGAAATTTTTTTGTCACTTAGAATCTTGTGGTTTCAAGAAATTAAACTTTTTTATTTCAATTTTTTTAGTTTCAAAAAGATGATGTAAAATTTCCAACACTCAGAGAGCTAGCTCATATGTTATTGAGAATGATGATGGTGGTTATGTGCCGTGGAGTCAGTTCTGACTCATAGTGACCCTGTGCAGGGTGCTGAGGCTGTAAATCTTTATGGGAGCAGAAAGCCGCATCTTTTTTCCGAGAAGTGGCTGCCAGGTTCAAACTTGACCTTGCCATTTGCAGCCCACTCATAATAGGCTAGACCATCAGGGCTCTTTTCAATGAAAGGTGATGAGTATTAAATCGGTGTAGCCTGTCGACACCACTAGGTGCATTGGATTGTAAAAGTTCGTATTAGCAGCATTCTGTTAACGATATCCTTCGTGACTATTTACTTCTAATGTATAAATTCTTTAGGCCATTTTTGTGAGAAGATATGCATTGTTTTATATAGTTCTTTGAGAGGGTCTGGGGCCATGGGGCCTCTGGAAGGACAAAGGACTGAGGCCGAGTCTCTCAGACTTGGAGTCTCCGAAGGGGGGGTGGTCTTCATCCTTTTGGCACTCATGGGCCCTGGTGAGAGTCCACTTGTAGTGGAGAGAGTAGTTAGAGAAAGGAGCAGAACAGTTCCCGGGGTGCTGTAGCTATACCCCTGGGGAGAGATGGGACAGTCTGTGTGCATGGAGGGTAAGCACGGTCACCCGTTGGTGCAGAGGACGATGTAAGAGGTGCAGTTACTTTGGAATTTTTATTGGAATAACCCTTTATTCACATTCTTCCTTTTTGTCTTAACCAAAAAAAAAAAAATTTAAGCACCTAGACCACTTAGCTTTCCAAGTTGCTTTGCTGCGAACAGCTGCATATGTTTGTCAGCTTTGCCCACCTGAGTGTGAAATGATGTTCTATCAAAACATGGGTTTCAGCATTTCACTCTCTGCTCCTGACATGTGAACCCTGCTGCGGACAGTAACTGCTGCTTCGGCCCAGGCATTTCCCTGATATTGCGGTGGACTGGAAGCATTTGCTCAGTGGTAATGATGGGGTCTGGTGCAAGCAAGCAAGGCGAGCTGGGAAGGGTATGATTGTGGAGGGCTAAATAGCCTCTCGCCTGCGCTTCTTCCCCTCACCCGATGGAGCCTTAAAGGCATACTGTCCTTTTTGTCGTGATGACTCTCTCGCCCTTACCGCCTTTGTGGAATGGCTAGAAGACTTGTCCTTATTGGCAGACAGTGAAGACTTGCCAGGGCCTTGCTGGCTCTCAGGAGACAGAACTGATGATTTGTTTGCATGTGGCCCTCTTGCAAATTCAGCCCATCACTAATTTGCATTTGTACTGAAGCTACCTTCTGCTTTGTATGGGGCCTGGTGGAGGAGACAGAGCCCACAGTGAACCTGCCTCTGTTTTCTGTAGGCCTGGAGCACTGGGCCGGTTGGTGACCCATTGATTTCCTGACCCCTGGGTTGTCGCCACCATGCCTGTGGCTCCAACAGAGGGTTAGGTTACATTCTTAGCTCCTCGGGTTTCTTCTGTAAGATTTTTTTTTTTTTAATGTTTTATTGTAAATTATATGATAGTTTACATGGGAGAACTTTAGTTTTACATTCATTCCATCCTAGATCATCTCACTGCCATGATTCCAGTCCCCTCCATGCATCATCAACCACCCAAAGGGTATATCCCAGAAACCCGCCCCCTACACTTCCCCCTCCTCCCCCCAGTTTTCAGCCCACAGTCCCTTTCCCTCTCTGGGTCCAAAGTCCCCAGTTGCTTCATCACTCCACGTCATCATCTCTATCTCTATCTCAGGCATCTCAGTTTCTCTGGGTAGGATCCCGCTCTCGGCTCTTCTCCGTTGATGGTCCCAGAGGCCTCCGCGCCTATCCTGGAGAATTAATCACTCCCTTCCTTGTTACAAAACTTCTATCTTTGCATTTTCAACCCTCATCATCCATCCTGATATGCATTATTCACTATAGTACAGTACAGATACACCATCTGTATCTCCTTTCATCAGCTCCGCCCAGACAGATTGAATAGTACCTACTGGAGATTCTACCTTCCGCCATGCTCCCTAGCACCAGGTTCCCTCTTGAAAGCTTGTAAGCCAGTCACTTCTTGCCTTTGTAGTCCCCCCTCTCCATTTGAGTATCCAATGTCCAAGCTGCCCTTCTCCATCCACTCTGTGTGTGTGTGTGTGTGTGTGTGTGAATGTTTCTTTCTGTGAGCATTTGTTCCCTCTTTTGAATCTCTGCTCCATAGGTATAGGTCAAGTTCATCAGACTGTATCTCTTCTGTAAGATTTTTTACTTGTAAGTTTTGGTATGTTATTCCTGTTGCTGGGTTTTCTTAATTACAGTGAATGCTACTTCTGCCCAAACCTAGTAGTAGGGTACCTTCAAAAAAAAGACAAATTTAGCTTTTGTGTTGATGTCTTACTGAAACAAAATAGCTACTGGGAGAGTAGTTGGTGAGCTTTTTTTGTAGGTCAGATTTGTTGAGGCTTGTGCTCAGATGATAAGATACTTAATAATAAGAATGTAGGGAGCCCTGGTGTGGCATTGTGGGCTAATGTGTCAGACTGCAAAGTCATTTGAACTGCAAGGTCGGTGATTCCAGCTCAGTAGCTGTTCCTTGGGTTGGAATTGACTCGACGACACTTAACAACAGCAAGGCTATATTGTGTGCTTAGATCCTGAAACTGTGAAACAGGGTAGGTGCTTCACCCTAGTCCATTACTTTAGCCCTGTGAGTATCCCCAGCCAGGATGGCTAGAAGACTTCTATGTCCACAAGGGAAAGTGTTCTCTGGAGCTTCTACCTCAATTACAGGAGGAATCCTGCCCCATCGCCCGCTTCTAGATTTTCCAGGCCTTGGCAGCTAAATCTGGCCAGTTGTTTGTGGTTACATTGGCTTTCCTAGTGGGAGCCAAGTCTGGGAATGGTTTACTTTCTTTTCAAACCTCAAAATTCCTGCATGTTATGCCTCTTTTTTTATTTTTTTAAGTTCAAGCCTAACTTTAGAAATACATTAGCCAATCGGATTATCTGTTAGATTGACAATAGACACGAGGGCTGGGAGTGGGAAAGAGCCTTGGTCCTACTCCTGCTCAGCTGCACTCGGGGTCTTAATTGGAATCTTGTTGTTGGGTCATTTTCATTGTTTTTCAAGTACTGCCTAGTCCAAGGAAATGTATGAAAAGTAAATTATATCTCCCTACAGCCCATGTCTGATTGAATCCTCCCTCATTGTGTGGCAATCTCATACATCCTATTAAAATATTCAATCTTGTTTTCTGACTTGAAGAGCCTGTCTGTAAAGGGCAAACGTAGAGAAAACCCATTCCCTGGAGACAGGGTATCCAGCCACCCTGGGGGAGTTACACATCTCCATGCTGTGCTGTGCTCGAGCGGCTTCCGTGGCTCCTTCCTGCTTGTGAAGACGCGCTGTGGGTGCATTTTCCATTACACTGCCGTGTTTTCCACGGAACAGACATATTGGGGTATTTCCCAGCTTCTTACTTTCCTTTTAACCTAGGAAAGGTAACCAGTGCGTTAACCAATTTGTTTTGTTTGTCTTTCAGGACAGAGCTGTATCGCTCTCTTTTTGGCAAACTCAACCCTCCTGGTGACAACAACTGAGATTAAAGTGCCCATCTCTTTCTGCCCTGGGGCCCCCAGCTGATGGCCACAGATGGAAATCACCACCTCTCTTGTCTTCTTGAGGCCTCGAGATAGGACCTCCACACCCCTCAGTGCCTCAGCCAGGTTGACTGGCTGGTCAGTCCCAGATGGAGGTGCCTTCCTGCTGCAAACTCATGGCGTCGATCGAGCCTTAGGGAAAATCCCTGGGAAGGTGTTCCGTTCAGAACATTCAGAACCTGTGCTGATAGACCCAGGAAGCCTGCAGTCAAGCTTCTCTGTGTACAAGTGTGCTTACTAGCATGTCCTTTGCTCCTCACCAATAAAGTCTCCTTCCTGTCACTGCCTGGTTTCTTCATCTGTGTGGTACCCAGCACAGCACTTGGCTCTCAGTGGGTAGGCTGACAGGTTGTTGGGAGGGTTTTCTTGTGTTTTTTTCTAGCCAGACAGTCTTACTGGTTTCACAGAACGAGTGATACTGGGGTGCGACACCATTCTCACTGGGTGGACCATGTTCAGTGATGTTGCCCGGCTTCCAAGAGCAGGGCATCTCAAGTCCACTTACTGTACTAGGAGGCTTTATGACTTGGAGGTTGTGTCTAGATTGACTTTTCTTTACCCTATTGTGTTCCTAAACAACTTTGTGGAGATTAATTCTGGTATGAATCTAGCTGGAGGAAGTGATTCACCTGTTTTTTTACCCAAAGATCAAAAGCTAGGGGTGAAGTTCTCCTGAATTGGGATTGATTGGCCTAGAGTGTGCAGTGAAGGTGACCTTGCCTAAAGAAAGTGTGCTGGCTCCGCCATCCTGGGTCTAAACCTCTGTATGTGCTATGGAATCTGGGAATTGCTGTGTGCGGTTGTTAATAGCTAGCCGCTCTTGATACTGTTTTAAAATGCCAACACAAAGTGGTAGGTTTGTGAGCCCAGGAGCCCTCTGTGCTCTGGGCTGTGTCACTGCTTGGGGACACAGCCTTGGCTGTGATTGGCAGCCCAGTTTTACCACAAATGTGTCTGCTGAGCTCAGGATAGGCACATGGAAGGAGGAGGCATTTGGTTTCCCTGTCCCAGCAGTTCCGTCTTGGGCTTGACTCTCAGGGAAATGCTTAACTTCCAGTGTGCCTCCCACTTCCCTTTCAAAATGATCACTTTATTTAAAATACAGAACGTCCAGTCCTGTCCGGTTAGGCCAGGTTTCCAGATGCTGTATGATAGAGCCAAAGTAAGCAACCTCTGGATTTTGAGTGTGCCTAGAAGTCGTGGTGAGGTGCCATAGGAGAAGTACTGGGTACTGGACCACAAGCTCACCAGCTGTTCCTCAGAAATCCTCTACAGAGTTGCTCTGAGTCAGAACCAAGTCGGCGACACTTAACAACAGCACTAACCCACGTTCCCTAAAGAGAGAGCCTGTCATCGTCTCTCTGTATCTGATGAAAAACACAAACAAGATTTAAACAGGTACTTCAAAATATTTAGAGTCCATCATGTTTAATTAGAATGAATTAAAAACAGGAGAGATGAGAAAGAAGGACGTGCCAGGCTTGCGTTTTAAAATTCAGAAGACCACCCTCCTTCCAGCTAAGAATAAATTGGAAACTCTTTTAATTGACACGGATACTGCAATTCAACTGTTACTAGAAAGACAGATTAGTTGATTGATTTGCATTTTAATAAAACTAATACTTTACATTTTGGTAGCTAGCACTGATTTTTAAATGAGTCCCCAACAGTCCTCAGGAGCTTCAGTGCTGAGCCCTTTTTCGATGTTGACTGAAGCATTCCTGTCTTTTGTGTGGCGTTTGCTTAGTTTACTTTTGCCTAGGTGACTACTCAGAACCACAGACCTTGACGATCTATCTCACCAGGACAGTGAGGCAGCGAGCGAGCGAGCAGGTCACAGCGGCCACCCACTCAGGTATGCATGAGGGAGATGGCTGGGCTGGGAGGGAGGCCATGGACCCCTCCCTTCAGAAGAGAGAAGATGCAGAGATGGGCTTCTCATCTTCATTTATTTTTACTGTAAAACTTAATTACAGGGTAGTTAAACAGAGAAGTAGAAAGAACCAATAAAAATAAGACTGTAATCCCACCACCCAGAGATAACCACTGGACATTAACATTTCAATACTTAGATGCTCAGAGTGTTCTTCCCAATCCAGGCACCAGAGGACCAAACAGTACCAGCAATTCTCCCCTGCAGAGGAAGGAGCCTTGAGCAGTTATGGAACGTGACTTGGGTTTTGCTTTTGGACTATTTGACATGTTTTACTTACCCTTCCAGAAGCAGTAGAAATAAAATTGTCATTCAGCCCTACCTACCCTCTTCTAACAAACACACACACACACACACACACACCACTAGTGAGAACCACTGGTACATGTTGTTAAGTGCTGTTGAGTCGATTCCAACCCATAGCGACCCTATATAGGATTTCTGAGGTGCAGCAGCTGAGCTTAAACTGCCGACGTTGTGATTCAAACTGACTTTGTGGTCCAGCGCATTAACCCACGGCCATTGGGTTGATTTCAACTCATTTGTTGTTACTTGGTTCTGCTGTCGAGTGAGTTTGGACTCACAGTGACCCACCACAAAGCACAATGCCCGGTACTGCACCATCCTCACAGGCGTTAGTTTCAGCCCATTGCTGCTGCCGCAGTGTCTATCCATCTTGTTTGGGGTCTGCTTTTCACTCACCCTCCGCGTTACGGGCATAATATCCTTCTCCAGGGGCTGGCTTCTAAGGAGTGTTCTGGCTGCACTTCTCCCAACAGAGATTTCTTGGTTCTTCTGGCAGTCTATGGTACTTTCAAAATCCTCCCAACACCATAATGCAAATGCAATGCATTCCAACTCATAGCAACCACATAGGATTTCCCAGACTAAATCTTCACACGAGCAGAAAGCCTCTTTGTCCCACGGAGTGGCTGGTGGGTTTGAACCACCAACCATGTGGCTAACAGTCAGATGCTTATCTTACAGCACCACTAAGTCTCCTGTAGTACATAGTACTCTGATTTTATAGTAACATTACAGCAAACGATGATTCCCATGCTTAGATAATATTCTAATTGCTAACTTAAAATTCTATTTTAGGCATGCATCATCAATAATTAACCAAATCCCCTGTTGTTGAACATTTAGATTATTCCCAAGTTTTTGCAGTTAGGAATAATGTTGCAGAAAGCTTGTTGATTGTGTTTTTTGAAATTGCTATTTTTCTTGGCATATATTTTTAGGAGTAGAGACAACCAAGTACAAATCTATTGTTCAGGCTCTTGGGACATGTTACTGTAGCTCATTTTTAGGGTCTCATTCACTTTTCCTAACTTGCTTAAGCTAGCCATTTGCAACAAAGGACACTGAGATGCAGAGAGGAGGTTGGCCCTGGACTTTGATCCAGGAGGTTAGTTCTTGCTCCCCAGGGAGCCCTTCCAATCAACAGCATCCTCAGGGAGCATTAAAGAGCTGCTGCGGGTAACATGCTGTTGAGATGCTCCAATGAAAGATGGCGGATAAACAGAAAATGAACCGCCATCTCCCTCTCTGGCCCCCATATCTCTTTCCTGACTGCTCGGTCACATTTAATTTGCTCTCCCCTCTCCCCTCAACTTGTCACCCTCTTGTTAACTTTACTTTAAATGTCTTCATCCTGGGCACTGAAAACTCCTTGTGGGTCTTCCTTGCCTTGTTAGGGTTTGAGATTCTCCCAGATGTTCTATACTTTGATTTTGGTGTGTAGCCATTTCTATCTTAGGTCACTAACCAAGATCGTTTATTGAATATCACTGAGGCCGCCTTCCTCCTAAGTGGCAGCAGAAGACACCAGTTCAGAAAAATTGTTCCTTTTCTAAGTTGATTTCCAGCTCTTCATGTGTGTTCCTCAGGCCACTCCAAGAGAGCTCCTTTTCCCACTACCTATCTGATCAAAAGGGGACTGAGTTTGAGGCTCAGTGTTAGCCTAAACATGACTGGTTATATAAATCAGTGGACCACACCTCAGGATGAGCAGTCACTGTAGATGCAATGTGTTCATGCCGATCTCCTGCCTCCAGTGGCTCAAGCCTACAAGTGAGGGTGTCCGTGAAAGAGAGGTGTTCCACATCCTTAGCAGCCCTGCCTGCCTCTGCCAGCGCCAGGATGGATAACAACAGACCCAGTAGAGTTGAGGCTACAGCCAATGAGCCTGGTTTTCTGCATCTTAGTTTGTGTTTTTACTTTTTTAAATTTAGGTGTGTGTGTTTACTGGGGGCAGCTCCACTAGGAATTGTACTGGGCTTGCCTTAGCCAGCAGACCTTTATGTTTAACCATTTTCTGTCTATATTCCTTACTTTCTCTTTCGTCATAACATTTCAGAAACAATTGCTAGTCATTTGGTTAAGTTCATTAACTAATTCTCTCTTAAGCCAGGAGATCCATATCGCCCTGCTGATTTGTATATATTCAATTTGTCCAACAGCACTATTGACGGAACCGCGTTCCCTGTTCCTCGTCTGTGGGGGAGAGGGCGGTGTAAAAGCAGGAGGAGGCCTTATCTAACTTCTGTTTTTCTTGTATATGTATGGATTTCCTTTACAGAGCCTTCCTGTCCATCGTGTGGGGTCTGCCAATAGGGTCATTGCCTCAGAAGCATTTATAGTCCTGAAAAGTTTTGCCACCCCCCCCACCCCACCCCCGGGTCAAGGTTCTCTGAGTTCATTTGCTAAGGTCAAGGATGCTCAGGAAAGAAACTTTAAAGAATGTTTAAAAAAAAAAAAGAAAACTCAAGAAGCAATCCCACATCACTGACAAGGCAGAAAAAGAATTTTAGATCCCTGTGTGGTGCTGTAGGATAAGCACTGGACCACAAGGTAAGCAGTTCAAACCCACCAACCGCTCCTTGGAAACCCTGTACAGGATCACTATGAATAGGAACCAACTCCACTCAACAAGCATTATGACAATAACCCATAGAGAGCCCCCCTGTGCCCCCCACTTCATTATGCGTGCACTCCATCTGCA